ATGGTTGATTATCGCTTGCTGAATGATCACGCAATTCATTGAAGTTGATTGCTTGGACCTACCTGATTTTTTGACTGACGTCGATCACATTGATCATTGTTATTTTTTAAGCCGTTTTTTGCCTGTTCGACGAGAGACGAAGGTTCGGTTTCAAGATGAACAAGTCATCACTAAACATGATAAGGGAGTCAAAGATGACCAGCCAGAAAGCAGGAAAATGGTAAGATGATAACATGATTTCTCACCTACAGTGATTCATCCATTTCTTCATCCATTCAGTGTTCATCGTGTCAAGGTTCATTAAATAATCTAGATATTGCGTAYGGTAGTCCATTGTTGCATAAAAGACTTGGCCATAAAAAAAGATGTATACTATTCACATGGACCGCGAAGCAGGGGGGAATGGGGGGCTACAGTCCCCCCAATAATTTCAAGTTTCTTAAACAAAAAAGCGAAGAGCCTCCTTATGAAATTTCAGTCACCATATAAATTCTATAAAAATTATGTAAAAACTGAGCGTGACAATCAAAATTGAAGCTTTTAATTTTTGCGATTTTTAATTTTTGGGATTTTATTGATTAACATGGTCTTTGTGATTTTATTGACAATATCGCTGTGCGTGTGAGCGGTAAAAATGTATTGGATAACGCCTCAAAACTCTGGAAATGACATTTCCGAGAGTTAAGATTTCAAAAATTTCCGAGCCCTCCTAGTACCTCGTCGCCTCTAGCCCCCCAAAACAAATTCACGCTCCGCGGTCCCTGATTCATTCATTATAGCAATCCGTAATTATGAAAATTTTCCCTCAAAGAAAGAACCTGAATATGAAAGCACAATAACCACGCCCATCAATGAAAATATAGAAGAACACAATGGATACAAGGACACCTCTGCTACTGGGGGCCAATATGCCAACGCCTCTGCTACTGGGGGCCAATATGCCAACGCCTCTGCTACTGGGGGCCGATATGCCAACGCCTCTGCTACTGGGGGCCAATATGTGGAGACCACAGCTTTTGATGCCCAATATGCGAACACCACAGAGGGAGATGATACGAATGCCTTAGCAACAGACGTCTATTATCAGAATGCTTATTATGACGGCCATTATCAAGGCGAAGATGGGTATTACTATGGTAACGGTTACTATGGTGACGAAGATATGGTAGAGGAGGACATGGTGGTAAGCTATTCCGCTTCCGATAAATCGAGCTCTCTTTGAGCGCAGTCACAAGGYTGATATCTTTTTAATTCGTATTTTTCAGATTGAATAAWCAACAAAATGAGAAATGCCTTCAACATGGACTGTTAAACTGGAAGATTATATGGACAAGAAATTGTAAAGCAGCGAATAAATGCCATCCCAAACCTCTAATTYTTGTAGAATTCATTTTATATCAGGGGRGCGCTAAATCGGAAYGGGACAACTTTCGAGGAGCGACRGTATRTTTGTGTTGAAACATTTCCSTTAGAGGTCCGTCTGTCTGTCTGAACGGAAAGGCCAGGCTACACAGGTGATTCCGGAAACATCAGTGAAGTGACAACCTCTAAAGCGAGTTTCTGGGCTGAGTKAGCGATTGCTCCTTATTTATTCCCTGACTATTGTACCACACACAAAGTGGACTTTAGAAAGGACAGATGATTAGATCTACAAATAATTTATCAGCCGTTTTAGGCACGATGACTTCAAGAGAGTACACGACCGTCAAAGCGAGTCACATTACGAAGAGGGCTTCTGAAATGGATTTGAATGGCATAAAATGTCATCTAAATGACGAATTTGGACTGTTTATCCAAGGAATTTTAGCATTTGTCGCTTTCAGTACACTATTATGTAAGTTTGTCGTTTTATGTAGCTGTAAAGTTCTGTGCAAAGTTCATAAATCCGTTTTTTGTTTGTACCTGTATTGAACGAGACTGGTGGCATGTGCCCGTATAGCKGGATTCGATTGCTTCACATTCAAGGGCGCAGTATCGGGTTTCTGGTTAAAACCCAGCCTCTTACATGATTTAAAACCTTTTCTTAACCCACCCAACCTTACCACAATTTAGTAATGCACGAAAATGATTTTTTTTTGTACCTATCTCCATTTTCATCAAAATATTTCTGTTTGAATCAATTTCATTGAAAACTCCACGAAGGCTGTCACTAGASCTCAAACAGACGAAATGTAATGTTTACATTTGATCTTTGATTATTTTTCTATATGTACTAGTTATAGCTTGATTTGAATTTCAAATTTTGTTTTCCGATGTAATTGATATTATCAGTATAGTAGTTCTTGTTCTAGTTCACAAGATTTTAGGGAAGAAATCTTCTAACAATTAGGCTTAGTATTAATGACGACAAAAGAATTGCGCGATTGTCATGGGAATACTACAATTTTCACACATAAAAAGTGTGTATATGCTATAAACTTGCTAATTTATAGATTCATTTTTTGCCTGCAATTAATTTTCATTCATCAAAGTGAGCTGATACGTCCAAGATTTACTTTGAAATTAAGTAACAGAAATTGGACTTCATTATGCTTTCAAGGAATGGGTAGTGGTGTCATAGGTACTTGTTTCTACGTGTTTTTATCGCAATATCCTACTAAAGCCCGTCGTTTTTATCATATTTTAAAAACAATATTCAATTTATGAAATTATGTATTTTGTAATTTCATTCCCACTGGAAATAGAATAGGATTTCCAGTACTATACCATATGATCTCTACTCAAAATAATATTTGTATGAAGGAACCAGATTCAATCTTTCATTCGTCTTATGTCTAATATCATAATTTATGAATTTCTGGTTGAAACCCAAAGTCTTTGAATATGCAATTGTCACTGTAGAGCATACAGATGCTCAATTATTTTATTTGTACAGCAAAATTAAACACCAGAGTCTTGATAAGTGGCTCTTGCATTAGACAAGTTCTAATTGGTCTGTTTTGGTCTTTTGGTTGACAATTTAATTTATATTTCTTTTTGTAGTAAAACGCTACAAAGAACCGCCCACAGAGCGAAGAACATTTACAATTTGGTGAGTTACCTACCTACTTCCTCTATTTTGAATGTTGTAGTTGAAGAAATAAGAGATGCAGAAAGAAATGAATTGACAAAGAAGGGATAATGCATAAAAACCCAAAACATGATTGCATCTCTTGATAAAATATTTGGATAAAATACATGCTCTCACTGGCTGATAATCATCTCTACACTGTATATCAAAGTCAAATATACAGTGTATGTGACTTGCTGGCCCTCTGCTTGCAAAGAAATATACAATGCCAGCTTGTAGTTGTCCTCTGATAAATTCATGACGGTTGATGGATAACACTCAAAAAATAAGTGAATCACTCCCTGTACTTATGTTTCTTAGGTAAATATTATTCAGTTTCTTGTGTTCCYCTCCATAAATCAAAGGACAGTGAAATATTGAGCTGTTTCTTTTCTTAAAATACATGTACATTCATCTTTTACAATATGTAAACGATTGCAATAAATTGAGCCTGDTTTTTTTTCAGGTTTTATGATACTTCAAAGCAGGCTATTGGAGCAGTAGTTATGCATTTTGCTAATGTTGTACTTGCTGGTCAGTTTAATGGAGACCCTTGCACATGGTGAGGCTAAGTATAGCATGGTGTTACAATAAGGTCCAGCCAACCATGACACTGGTTGTCCTTTACCATCTAGTATTGTTGGGCAACTCAACATTTTGCCATTTGACTACTTTATTCAATTTACTACTTTCAATCACCATTACTTTACAAGAAAGTAATCATTTACAACTTTATGATTGTATCTTTCAGGTATTTAATTAACTTTCTGTTAGATTCAACACTTGGTTTGATATTCATCTGGTTATTCCTACGTATAATACAGTTCATAGTTGAGATATATTCCATTGAATCACTACGATCAGGCGTCTATGGTAAGATGTAGTTTTGTCAAAAAAATGTTGAGAGAAATGTTGAGTTTCAACAACAAAACAATACTAAAACTTTTAGAAAGTTAATGTTTGCAGAGTTAAAGAAAAGCTGTTGCTTCTCTGGTCTCAATGATTGCATTGAAATCAATAGTACCATTATTTTATTTGAATTTTCTACTTTAACTTGAACACATCTTAAATCACTTCATGGTCATTTGTATAGACCTCTGAAGCTTTTACGTCATGTACCGTATATGCAATGTATTGTAGGAAATGTTTGGGACAGAACATGGCGGGTTTCTTTTGTTTTCTCTAGAAACTGATCCCACAATGCATTGAAAATCAAGTAGTGACGTAAAAGGTTCAGAAGTCTATTGCTATGCAGTTAATCCAGACAAAAGTTGAGACAGTAGACTGCTTATAATTAAGCTGTCAATCAATATAATAACTATGTAATCAACCATGATTAGTGATGCCATTTAATAATTATCTGGCTGGTGGTGTGCTAATACAAATGATAGTAAAATAGTGAAATAGTTTGAATACATAATTTGACTTTAAACTGACCTGTTAAAATATGTATATGTTGCCATAGGAACACCTCCACAGTGCCGTGCCTGGATTGGACAGTGTCTATTGTATCTTRTTGTTGTCGTCTTTGAGAAGGTTACAGTTGCTCTTCTAGTTCAGCTGCAATTCTGGGAAAAAGTCAGGCAATTTATTCTAAAACCAGTCAAGGGAAATCCTAAGATGGAAGTCGCTATTGTCATGCTCATAGTTCCCTTTGTTTTCAATGTAAGTATGGGATTCCTGTGTTATTTATATTATGGGATTCCTGTGTAATTTAGGGAGGCATTTTGTTGATGTTAACCAGCAATAATATTTGTAATAATGTAGCTCACATATAGCTCATATATATGGCTATAATTATGGTTTTTGATGGCTGATGAGTCACCAAAGCCTATATTCTATCATCTGGGCTAAAAATATGAAAACTTGACATAAGCATTATTCTTTCATTAGGCTTTAATGTTCTGGGTTGTTGATGGCTTCTTGATGCGAAAACGACGAAAATCCTTAGAGACAGAAGACCATGTCAGAGTGAAGTACCAAAGACGAGAGAATACCAGCAAATCTCCCAGCCATTCTGACGAGGAAGCTGTGTTACTGGACAATGAAGGAGACGTCGAGGATGGTTTGTTTCACAGAGAGGTCATGAGATGACCAATATTGACTTAAAGATTATTTTTATGTTGAATTGTATAGGATGTTTTTCAATTTATATACGYGAATTATACCCAGGTTCCGCACATTTGGTAATRGCARAGGTGATCTGGGTGCAACTCAATAATCTCATACTCTCAGACCCTCTTCAGCCCTCAATACGAGGCCCTGGGAAACTCGAAGACTTATTTTCAGTTTCATTGATTCTTTAAGTGGGTCATGTGGATTCTGGCATTAATCTGTATAAAACTAGGATATTAGTTTTCGGTTATTTTATCATAGGAATTCATAAGTTTCTTTTCTGATGTTTCAGAAGAAGAGGCAGGGAAGGAATAAGACTAACTTTATAAATTTTATGAAATTGGCTGACATWGTAGAATTATTGCCCTAGCAGAAGTAACAGGGTCTGAATTTKTTTTTTGCATGTATGGCATRAAATGCACTCTKATACTGTTGATTATCTTACATGTATGGTCATAGGGCTCGTGCTACKCCTTGAAGTCCTTGAAAAGTCCTGGAATCGAAAATGAAACGTCTGCAAACATCAAAAAATATCTTAAAAAATAGTCCTTGAAAATCGCATTTTTGTCCTTTTAAAAAATGTACTTCAAAAGTCCAGGAATTTTGTAGTGAAAATGTAGCAYGAACCCTGGGTCAACTGCACTGGAAAGTAGCCAAATAGGGRAATATATGCATAYAAGTAAGACCTGAATCKTAAGGGRCAGTTYCTGGGAAATGTAGGGCTAGMAATATAGACACGGAAAATGAGAAAAAAGTTTGAACTGTGGATTAAGTGATGTATTTAAATAAGGCTATCCAACTGTTAGTGAAAAGTTTTAAACAGATTGGACAGAAAKAACTGTTATGTGGGATGGGCCGATTGCTTTTTTAYTTCTGATTTCAATACTGTACTGCATTTTACACATGCCTTGCTTTGGTTAGATTAATATAGATAATCACTTTTATATAGTGCAATGGGGAATTAACATGAGACTTGGCACAAGTTATTCATAAAAACGTTTTTATAAGAAATTGTTGAAAAGTACCAAAAAGATAGATATATTGTTAAAATTTGTACATGATGTTAATGCTCCCAATTCCTTCACTTTATTAGGGATATTRATGTTGTTAAATTTGAAGGATTTTGTTTTGTAAATGTCTTAATAAACCACTTGGGAATGCATGAAAACTTGTCTTGTTTAGTATTTTAACTATCGTCCTCCTGGTCCAAGATGTTCAATTTTTTCACTAATTGCTAGTGTTGCACTTCGCGCAAACAAAAACAAAACAAAGGCGAGAGTGAAAAATCAAATCTGCCAGATCGACCTTCGCGGATTATTTCAGTTCTAAATGAAAAGCAAAACCAAAGCATAATTCCCACAATTCCGATTGATCCCTACGCTCTATGTTTTCTCGAAGATCGACGTTGATAAAGACTTTAATATACAGCTATTTCAAGAAAGGTTGACAGGGAGAACCGCAAACATGCGACCGAAAGTTATCATGGGTATCAAATTCGCTGAAAAACATTGACAAACCTCGGTCACGCATACTATTGGAATATAGCTGTGTGGGGTTTATTGATAACATTAAACACATATTATAGCATTTCTAAAGCCCTGAAACCATTAGCGAATTTAACGTAAAACAGTTTACTGTTGAGGATTTCAACTAAAGGTTTGTAATTGCTTTTAGCTGAAGTGGGCTCTAGCACTGAAGACTAATTAAATACGTTCCCATTGAACTGAATGGCTTTCAATCTCAGCCAAAACTCACATGATACTGTTTTTGCGGTTGTCTTTCATCTTGCAAATCAGCGCAAAAGAAGACCWTAATATCCAACAAACAACAACTTTTTATATTAACGACATTAGTATTAATAAAGCTAATTGAAGCTAAAAGACGTTCTGGATTTGAGAAACATGTTAATAACTACAATATTTGAGGATCAATTAATAAGAAATAAAATTAAATGAATACTGGATTAAATACTGTAACCGCAAATTAAACGACGAAGAGTGACGCAATCCCTTGCTTTCAGTTTCTTCAGGGTGGAATGACAACATGAAAGTATTGATGGGTAGATGTTAAGCACTATTAATGACGGCTACTCAATCATACAAGACGCTGATTGGTCAATTATTATATAACATGTCTAGTAATAAAACATTACTTATGCAACAAAAGTGAAACAGCTCGACAATTTCGGTGTAGAATCTTGAATTCGTGATAAAATTGTTGACTTTGTAACCAAAGGTAAGAAAATAATGGTTAATGAAACTGATAAATGATCATCAAAACAAAGCTAACGAAAAATGAAAATTCTAACAAAAAGCGGTAATAATCACTGCGGTCGATTTTCTCATGGCGTGACGGTGAATTCACTTTCATTGTTAAAAGATTTTATCGACTCCACTGCATAAATTGTTTCTTACTAGTCAATATAGAATAGATGAATATTTATTTCTAATACTGAATTAATGAATTTGAATTATGTTGTTTACATATGAAGTAAAATTTGCGACATGCAGAAATGACTTTCATGATGGACAAGATCAAAATGGTGCTTAATCCCAAAACATTCATAACTGCATGCCTTTATGTTGTTTCGTGGGATTTACGTATCTGTCTAGTAAGGGCAGCTAATGGGATTTTCACGACGGCGAGGATGAGGCATTGGCAATTCAAGATCGAGAGAATTATATAGATTTATAGGTGGAAAACGAGACTCCAAGACTGCAAACACCAAAACCCTAGAATGAAAGTAGATTTTAGAGAGACGACATTAGTCCTACTAGGCGTCGTGCTTTTGTTTTGATCAGAATTACTSTCATCGTCATCATAATCATCATTATCATGATCATCCTGATTTCCAGGAACTCTTGTCTAACTCAGTAGTAAAATAAACGATAAAGACAGCAAGTGATTTTTACGACATTTCGAGGTCATACTGTCCTCATTGTCAAGTACTTTTAATGGACAATAATTGTGGGCTAAAGTTTAGATACAGAAAAATTGTCTCACTGATGTCTTTAATAGGTACAATATCAACCAAGAAAATGAGATTCYTTTTAGCGATGCTTCTTAGTTTAATGGCTTTGACCATAAATGTGTCAGATGTGGACAGTCACCGCAAAACAAGATCAACGCGATACAAAAATAAAAAATACAAATACTGGTGTAGAGGTATGAAAAAGAATTACACTTGATGGAATCAATCTGCTGGCCCACATTTTAATGCACATTAATTCTTACTAAGGTGTAATGAATTGTTATAGCTTATTTAGATAAGCAAGATGGAGTTGGGAGTATGGGTCCACTATATCAACCTATACCAACTATTGGAAAAAACATTTCAAGAAAAAAACTAAATGAACTGTTAAAAGACTGTTACGAGACTGGAAATGGAAGGAATACGAAGAGCACTTCATACTTCACCCAACCTCACACCGTTAGTCAAATTACAACTATTATCAATGGTGGAATACATACCCATTACCGTAAAGTCAAATCTACCCCCACCCCTACCCATGTCAGTAAGGTCAAATCTACCCCCACCCCTACCAATGACAGTAAAATCAAATCTACCCCCACCCCTACCCATGACAGTAAAGTCAAATCTACCCCCACCCTTACCCATGTTAGTAAAGGTGAATCTACCCAGGTCCCTAACCTCTCAAGCAAAGTAAAATTTTCCACAAGCCCTACCCCTATCAGTAAAGTTTCTCCAGCCCATACTGCACGTCATCCTACTCGAACTAGAGAAAGAAAGATCAACTCCAGCTCCATCGCCATCAAAAAAGCAAAATCTACTTTAACGGTGAAAACAACCAAGAGTCCAGACACATCTGGTAAGTATATAGAGGATTAAAATCATTTCATAAGTATCTTGTTTACTGTATAACAAACCAGATATCTACCTTCAGAAACTACATCTAAATCAAAGAAAAACAATAAAGCATTGGAAAATCTTGCCAAGGTATGTTCTTCAACAACATGATGCATGTGGTAGCTAGACTCTTGTCTGGTCTGCGAACTGGTGATAATTATTGCTTAATGTGTAGTTAGTCTCTGTATAGAGTTCGGGAATGCAGTCATTATGTCACTGCTGTTGTCGTTCCATGAATGGAAGAATGTCAAAGTGATTTTTTTCAAAAGATAGTTGTTTTGTAGAGTTTATCAATGTGTACAAAGTGATGCAGAGAATGTTTGTGTAGAAATGGTCGTTGAGTATTCATTAAAACTGTTCGTTTGTGTACAAGCACTTGGTCCGGTTTTGTGCAGGTTGATCGAAAGTTGTTTTGCTTTAATTTCTACTGTAACTTTTTCTTCACAGAAAAAAGTGAGCAAGGATAACGCCAGAGAAGTTTCCAAAACACTAACGGAAGTATTTGAGAATTCTCGACCAATGGACATGACAAAGGAAGACGTTGGTACTGCGGCAGACGTCTTGGAGAATATTGTATCGATCAAAGAGAAACTTAATGAGGTAAGAGCACCTTGCAAAGCAAAAGAAACCATGTATGAACGTTAACGCAAGTAATAATCTCCTTGCTAATTTCTCTTGGAAAAGTTTTCAAACTAATAATAAAATATAACTTTACATTTATTTGTTTTCATTCAGACTGCAGGAAATGTTGTTGAATTTATCGATTCCTTTATGGATATGAATGAAACAACTCTCGCTGAAAGTAGAGATGCAGCATCGAAGTAAGATTATCAATTAAGTGTAAAAATTGTCACACACTGTCAATCATGATAACAAGTATCAAATCTATACTATGTATTGCGCATGCTCAAACATATGTTGTTATCCCACATGGTAGTGTCGAGTTGTAAAAATAAATAAAACATCTACTTAGTAAATATCTAAGAATTGCAGCCAGGATTCACATTACTATGTCACTGAGCATGAGACAAAAAAACCTTTTAGTTAAAATCTCGAATACTTTGTTCTTTCAGAATAATCAAAGTCTTGGATGAAATTGTTGAGTTTATTCCCTTTGACGATAACGCAACTGTTTTGAATATCAATAAAACACACATCATCATCCAAGCCCACCTCGTGAATACACGYACATTTGATGGTATTAGCTTTGGTAGCACGTCTCATTATAACCGACAAAGAAGATCTACAGATCAAAATAAAACTCCAAGGACATTAGAGGATTATAATATAGAACTTCCTAAAGAAGTCATTAAAGACACAAGTGCCTCATCAGCACGAATAGGATTTATTTACTTTGGAAACAACAAACTATTCCAAGCAGAAAATACCACGAGAAAACCAAGCGAAGTGGTTCTTTCTGGAAGTGTGTATGGGGCAAATGTTAGCAACCTCACTGAACCAGTCGTCATAAGASTGSCTCTTCGYACAGRCGACAAGAGGMCAATGGAATGTGTGTTCTGGGTTGATGCAGGTASTKTTGTTACTGTCTCACCTCTGCGAAGACWT